GTCCGGCCTTCATTGTTGGTTTGTGTGGGCTCTCCCGTTCTTTGTTTCGCTGGATCACCAACAACTTTCTCAACTGGCGAGGTTTTATATGTTTAATAATTGGTATGTGCGCTGTGCACAGCAGCAGCAATATTCCGCTATAGCCGACTCGCGTATTTGTCTGATTGCGCAATAGCAGTATTTTGTTTACAAAGATAAAGAAGGGAAAAAACGGGGTTTTAGAATAGGGTCTTTCTAACAGACTTCTGGTTGTTTCAGGACTCGTTATAACTGATAAGTGGACTCCGCTGTATTTCTAATTTAGAGCTCAGAAACAAGCAACAAAGACAGGCAGAGACCACAGACGAAAAGAAAAAAAACCCCGATCAGCTGGAGACACCCTCCAACCACCCAGCGGAGGGCTTCTATTTCTATAATTCAACAAGACAGAGGCAGACAATTCCGTCCACTCGTTTGCATGAATGGTTTATTTACAACTGGACAAAGCGGGTCACCACAGTCAGTCAGATCTACTCACCCTGTCACAGACAGCAGCAGACAGACGGAAACATGTCGGACATCACTGATCCCACACACACACGCCACTCATACTTTGGTTAAAAATCCCACACACATATATATATAATATATTATATCCTAAAAATAGACTGAGGAGACAGTCCAGAAAAGGTAACATCACACAAGAAATAAATAAAAAAGCTTGCTGTACGGCAGACTCCACTTATGTTGATCTTGGGTTGAGTTGATCTTGGGTTGAGCTGATCTTGGGTTGAGCCGATCTTGGGTTGAGCCGATCTTGGGTTGAGTCGATCTTGGGTTGAGTTGATCTTTTTCTCGGGTCCCACCACAACTTCTTCTTTGTTACAGGTCCCCCCAACTTTTGGCTAAGTACAATGTAGAACTTTGGATGAGTTGATCTTTTGTTCACTTCCCCCCGCTGACATCAACTCACCCGTTGTCGACTCAGCAAGGACATTCTAAATCCTGTACAACGTCCCAGCAGAAAGACTGACAGACTCGATAAAAACAAAACAGCTCATTCTCCCCCACAGAGGAATCAAACTCAGGTCTTCCCGTGTACAAAAGCAGAGTCACCGAGTGCCTGACCGCTACATCACAGATGCTGGTATCAAAAACAAAACTAAGAAACACAGCGTGTAACACACCAAAAACAAATTAAAAAACAACAAAAGTAAAAAAAAAAACCCCCAAAAAGCAAAAAGCAAAAAGCAAACCACAGCGGGCTGAGCCCGGCCTTGCTCCACAAAGACAGACACAAGAATACACACAATAAAAAGGAAAAAATTGAAAGTGCTCTACGCCCCAGTCAACACAATTTAGGTTATTTAGGAAGCGGGCTGCTTTGACTCTGCCTTGTCACAACATCCCAACAGACAGGCGGTCACATGACAACATCCCAACAGACAGGTGATCGGTCACATGACAACATCCCAACAGACAGGTGGTCAGTCACATGACAACATCCCAACAGACAGGTGGTCACATGACAACATCCCAACAGACAACATCCCAACAGACAGGTGGTCACATGACTACATCCCAACAGACAGGTGGAGACAGTAGACGATAAAACACTTCCCATCTCAGGAATCGAACTCACGTCTTTTGCAAGCACTGACTACAAGTAAAAGCTTCCCTGCTACACCACAGACGCTGGTAAGAACTACAGAGACAGCTGCTACCACATGCACATGCCACGCTGGAGAAAAGTTGTCTGTGGCCTTGAATAAAAACACAAATAAAACACACTGAGCCTTTCCCTTTACTCTCCTTTTGTTTAGATTAAGTAAGTTTTACAGCACTTGTAACACAATAAGGTCATATAAGTGCCGAAGATTAGAGGTGTTATAAGAGAGTAACAAACACAAAAAAAGAAGGAGTAGATAAGGACGATAGATTTTTTATAAAAAAGAAGGAGCAAACCACAGCAGAGCACCCGTCAACCACCCACAGAAAAAATGTGGTCCCTAAACAAGTCAACAGGAGGAAAACTAACACAAATAAAGCAGGCAGAAAAAGGAAAACCAAAAAACCCCCCAAAACCCAGGAGCAGGAATTACGTGACAAATGTTGTAAGTAACAGAAGGAAACATCAGCCAGGAAAACAACAATCACAGAGTGAGAAAACATGCACCAAAACACAAACACAAACAAAACACAAACACAAATTGGAAGTACCGATGGCACGTAATCAACGGCTGCAGAACAGGACCGGGGATGTGGAGAAAATTCTTCCACCTTCTCATTAAAACCAAACACAACTATCATAATAATAATAATAATAATATCAATTATATTAGATAACATTGGTAGAGCGCATTATATTCCTGCTCAACAGCAAGATCTATGCGCTTCACAATCCATATTATTACCCCAGAAGATCTTAAAACAAACAGAATCATTTTTTAAAAACATTCATTAAATTAAAAGGATAAACATTCAAACTCATTCTTTCGCAATGTATAAAATGATGCATTTTCTTATTTTATACATCTAAAAAAAATAAGCCTCTCTATACAATTATCATATAAAATATTTTCAACATTTTTCTACCATTTGCAAGTATATAAATACATATTATCAAACTCATGCCCAATACAAAAGATGGTAGAAAAATGTTGAAAAACTTTGGAGCTACACAGACAAATGTGTCGCAACACGGTGGAATCAGGCGCTCGACAATGTTTAGGTGTACCGTGTTGCCAGTATCATCTCTGAGCTTGTTCATTTGTCTTGCTTTAGATTTTTTAAAATACCCAACTAACTAGAGAAGAAGTCGAGATATTGGCAACTGAAGTAGGTGGGGGGTCGCCAGGTATCAGAGGTTAAATCAGCGAGAAAATGGCCTTCAAAGTTAAAAAATTATTAACGTAGGAAGTGTCCTTGGGAACTGCAAACATACATTTTTTTCAGCCTGTCAAACTCTTATCAACATTTTTCCCCTAAAAATCCACAAAGAAATGTGTTTCTCAAATGGATGTAAAAGGTGTCGAGTCAGAAAAAACACAGTAGATTATAAACATTGCCCAACAGGCGTAGAAATTACAGGGGGGGGAGGGGGGTTCAGTTTCATTATTTTGACGAGCGCCTGATTTCACCACGATGTCTCACAAATAGTCTTCCGGCTTCCATGTTATAAATAAGCTGACTTTGGCAAAGGTCGTCCTTTGACCGCGACCGACGAGAACCGAGTGCATCCCTGAGGCATGTATGTGTGTCTCTATCTGTCGGGGACCCACAGGGGCTCATAGTACAGGTTCTGTCACCTCGAAAAGGGCGAGGGGTGAGGGGTGGGGGGGCAGGATTGAGAGTGGTTCGGGGCGTTGGGGGCTCAAAGGGTTATCATTTTTTTGATGAAACACAACAAAAAAACAGTGATAAAGTAGCACAGTTTAAGTTTTAGAGAGTTTGACAGCACTAGCAACGTAAATATGTCGTGTAAGTGTCTTCAATTACAGGTGTTACTAGAGACTGGAACACAAAGAAAAGGAGGGGGGAGGGACTCTAAAGGTTATGAAAAAAAAATTAATTAAAAACTGGTAAAGCAGCAGCAGTTTTAGTTCCAGTATGAGTTTTGCAGACCTTACAAGACAAACAGGTCATATAAAAGCTGAAGATTCCAAGTGTGACAAGAGATTGGCATACAACGAAAACAAGGAGGAGAGATAAGGACGTTAGACAGGAGAGATAAAGAGGGAGCAAACCCCACCCGAGCACCCACCAACCACCCACAGAGTACCACACAGTTGAGCACAAGCCACAGATGAGATGATGTCACCGGAGGACCTGACCACTTCAACACTGGCTCTCCTTGATATCCAAAGTTTTCATCTCTTGAACAAAAATATTGGGTTTGGGCAAAACAGTGTTCACTTTACAATGCCCATACCATGGATTGACTCTCTCTCTCTCTCTTTCTCTTTCCTTTCCTCTCTCTCATTCTCTCTCTCTCGTCCTCTCTCACTCTCTTTAAAACCCTCTCTCCTTTCCTCTCACTTCCCCAACTAAACATACCTCTGTCCCCTTTTCACTCTCTCTCCCACTCCTTTATATATCTTTTTCTTCCTTCTCGCTATCTCCTTCTACCCCTCTCCAACATTCCTTCTAATGACTAGCAATAGACACAGAGACGACCGAGTGACTTCAGAGACGACCGAGTGACTTCAGAGACGACCGAGTGACTTCAGAGACGACCGAGTGACTTCAGGGTATGAAAAAGGAACTGCCAAGTGATATCTTCCCTTTCCACAGTTTTCTCTCTCTCTCTCTCTCTCTCCCTCTCTCTCTCCCTCTCCCTCTAGACCACTACACTACACCAGACAAAGCCATCAGTCGCGTGACACTCTCTTTCTCTCTCTCTCTCTCTCACTCTCTCTTTCCCTCTCCCTCCCTCTCTATCCCTCTACTACACCAAACAAAGCCATCAGTCCCGCGACAAACTCTCTCTCTCTCCCTCCCTCCCTCTCCCTCTTGACCACCACACTACACCAGACAAATCCATCAGTCGCGCGACACTCTCTTGATCTCTGCCTCTCTCCCTCTCCCTCCCTCTCTATCCCTCTACTACACCAGACAAATCCATCAGTCGTGCTATACTCTCTTGATCTCTGCCTCCCTCCCTCTCCCTCCCTCTCTATCCCTCTACTACACCAGACAAATCCATCATTCCCGCGACACTCTCTTGATCTCTGCCTTGGGTCTTCGGATCACACACTGTGGATAACAAAATAGACAACCTTGAGAGACAGAAGATAAAATAATAACTACAATAATATCAATAATGATAATGAAATAATAATAATAATAATAATAATAATCTAATATAATAATAATACTAATAATAATAACAGTCTAAAATTAAAAACAATAATAATAATACAGATAATAAGATAATAATACAATAATCATCATTATTATTATAATATTACTAGCCCATCATTCAATGTCAGACAACGTCCCATACACGCACAGAGGACAAAGTTTCTTAAGCAAAATAGAAGAATTTGAAGGACTGAATTTTTCAACAACAACAACAACACTAATAACAATAAAAACAACAAAATGTACCAACGAGGCGCTCCCATTCACTGACCACCGGCTGTGTTACTTCACTCACCGACCACATGGGAGGACGATTCTCAGCGTAGACGTAGCAGTCGACCACGGTGAACACAGTAATGCGATCAACAACAACAACAACAACAACAACAACAGCAACAACAACAGCAACAATAACAACAACAACAACAACAACAACAACAACAACAACAACAACAACCACTCACCGACCACATGAGCGGAGTGTTCTCAGCATAGATATAACAGTCGACCACGGTGAACACGGTAATGAGATGCCTGGTCCGGTGGTCACATGACTCATCGGCCGCCCACTCAATCAGCAGCTCAGGACATTTCTTGTTCTTACGGAACTTGGACTTCATCAATGGCAGTTTCTGGGAACACACAGATTTAGTTTCCTTTGCAAAAAGTATAGATCTAGTACAAAGTATAGTTTCCATTGTAGAAAATATAGTGGAAGAGAAAATATAGTGGAAGGTGTAGTTTCCACAGTAAAAAGTAGTGTCCACAGTAAAAAGCATAGTAAAAGGTATAGTTTCCATTGCAAAAAGTATAGTTTCCATAGTAAAAAGTATAGTAAAAGGTATAGTTTCCATTGTAGAAAATATAGTGGAAGGTATAGTTTCCACAGTAAAAAGTATCGTAAAAGGTATATTTCCATTGCAAAAAGTACAATAAAAAGTAGTTTCCAAAGTAGAAAGTATAGTGGAAGGTATGGTTTCCAAAGTAAAAAGTATAGTTTCCAAAGTAGAAAGTATAGTGGAAGGTATGGTTTCCAAAGTAAAAAGTATAGTTTCCAAAGTAGAAAGTATAGTGGAAGGTATGGTTTCCAAAGTAAAAAGTATAGTAAAAAGTAGTTTCCAAAGTAAAAAGTAGAGTTTCCATTGTAGAAAATATAGTTTCCAATGAGAAAAGTAGAGTTTCCATTGTAGAAAATATAGTTTCCAATGAGAAAAGTAGAGTTTCCATTGTAGAAAATATAGTTTCCAATGAGAAAAGTAGAGTTTCCAAAGTAGAAAGTAAATCTCCAGACAGATGGTTTCTGCTCCATGCCATCTATATCTCAAGCATGAAGAAAGAAGCAAAAAGAATAGATAAACGTAGAGAAATGCGATCTATATCTCAAGCATGAAGAAGGAAAAAAACGTAGATAAACCGTAGAGAAGTGCAGACATCCACTCACATCTAAGTAGACTCGCTTGGTGACCCCCAGCCTCAGGATGAGAACGTCGAAAGACTTGTCCAGAACGCCCATCACCATCCCCATCTCCTCCAGGGGGCCAGCCTCCTAAAAAGGAAAAAAAAAAGGGTAAGTGTATGGATTTTTTAGTTTTAGTTCAATTTTATTTACAAGTTTTAACAGCGCTTGAAGAACACAAAGAGAATGATCTAGATATGAGAAGGAAAAGAAACAGAGAATTATACATATCTATAAGAGGAAAAGAAACAGAGAATTATACATATCTATGAGAGGAAAAGAAACAGAGAATTATACATATCTATAAGAGGAAAAGAATATCATCTTGGTATTTTAGGGACAAAAACAGAGAATTATACTTCTACATGAGGAAAACAGAATGATACTGTTACTTGATACATAAATGGAAAAAAAATAGAGAACTATACATTTATAAGAGGAAAATAGAATCATCTGGATATATTTGGGGAAAGAAACAGAAAATTATACTTCTACATAAGGAAAAGAGAATGATGCTGATATATAGGGGGGGGGGGTGGGGGGGGGGATAAAGATTCATCAGTAGTCATCAGACGTAGATTACAGTTTACACGTCCTATACCGGATGTTTTAGTAGTCATTCTAGCCTAGTGCTAGTGTCGAATTGTTCATGTTCTTTGGTTCATTTGATGGGATTTGATTGTTTCTTATGGATTTTGTACAATAGATCAGCCTGTGGAGGAAGTGCTGGCAGATAGGCATTACATTGTCATTCATATTTCTGTTAATAAACATTACTAAATGTTAAATCGACATCACAATGACTTAGATTTGCTCATAAATCATCTATAAGAACAAGATAAGGGCAGTGCCCAAAACATTATTGAGATTACCTTGACAAAGATGGAGAAGTACATCTCACTACTGCGGTCGGAGCACATCTTGGCGTTCTGCTTCTTGTCGTTGCAAAGCTCCGCCTGTTTCTGGAACAGTTCCTTGATTCTGGCCGGGGGAGGGCAGTAACCTGGGGGGTCAGAGGTGAAACAAGAGGTCAGAGGTGAACTGGAGGGTCAGAGGTGAAACAAAAGGTCAGATGTGAACTGGGGGGGGGGGGGGGGTCAAGGGTGAAACAAGAGTGTGATGTAAGTGCCGTAAAACTCTTACAAACACAGAAACTGAAATTAAAACTAAAAATAAAACAAAATCCAAACATAAAAATAAACTAAACTAAAACTGAATTCAAAGCTAAAACAAAGCTAAACTAAAAGTAAACTAAAATAAAACTAAGACTAAAACTAAAGATAAAACTACCACAAAAATGACTTCTTTATCTCCGGCCAGCCACTCCCAGCAGCTCGGGGTCAGAACTGACAGTGGATCGGCCAAAGTCCTTTGTGACGACTTCCACATCAAATACTTTTTGGCAATAGCCATTAACAAATCTCTTTTGCCAGGGGATCATTCATTAGATGAACAAGTATTGAAATGGGTTCACTTTTTTAATTTAAAGAATAGTTTAGTGACTTATGCGTCAATTTAAGATCCCGTACCAAAATAGGGCCCCGGCATAGTGGGCTTACCCCCACAGGACACTTACACACCAACAAGCACATAAACAGAATCAACCCCATGCGGGAACCCCATTGCAGACACTGTGACTACCATGAGGAGACCGTTGAACATCTTCTCCGTCACTGCCCAAACCTGGCAGTTCTTCGACGCAGGCTCCTACACACACCTACAGACTTACAAAGCCTGCTCTACTCTGGCGTTGACCAGATGACAAGGACATGTGGTTACTTGAGGGAGGCATTGCGCTGCCAAGAGCGAAATGCTCGCAGCTAAAGGGATTTGAAAACAACAACAACAACAACAACAACAACAACAACAACAACAACAACAACAACAACAACAACAAAAACAACAACCCCCCATGGAGATAAAGAGTTAAAACTAAAACTGTAATAAAACCAAAATGAGCCAGTAGTTACCGAGAGCGGCGGCCAGCAGCCGGTGCACCATGATGTCAGGGTAGCGTCTGATGGGAGAGGTGAAGTGTGTGTACAGCGGCACGTTGAGGGCGTAGTGGTGGTACAGAGACTCGTCCGCGATGCAGCCAGCACAGAAGTACTTGGCGTGCTGTGGGGGGAGACGGAAACATGCTTATGGTGTGTGTGTGTGTGT